AGAAATGACCCACGAGGGCATTTTTCCGATTTCGGATAGACCGAAACAACCCGGCCCAGACGGGATGTTGCTACGACGCGGGCAAAAAAATGCCTACCGGCATACGCTTGTCTGGTAAAGGCCACAAATGTTTGGACGTTAGCCTCACGAGCTCTGGCTCGTCCAATCGCCGACTCCGATGGGATCTCAACTGTCTTCATTTGTTTGTTTGCAAACATTTCTTCAATTTGTAGAACGTGGTTTGAAAGGTTGAGTTTGCAGTGATTTGGGCATGCGCGCGTCAATCACTAGGATCATTCAAAGGCATGTGCCTGCAAGTGGAATTTTCAAATTGGCCACGATCTGATTTACCGGAGTGCTTTGTTAGTGTTTGAGGGGATGTGGATTATTGCACCGTGATCAGTCAGTCAGCGTCGGTTGACCGAGTTGTCACGCAAGTGTCTGCGCGTATGCCCGACGACATCATTAATGCACCGGAGAGGAAAAAAACCGAAGCAAAGGAGGAAAATCCACACATTTGTCCGAGTGCGTCGATTGTGAGCGTTCTCTGAGTGGCCCTCGAGTGCTATCGGGCAACACACTCAAACGAGAAAATGACCCACTTGACCGGAACCGGTGACAATGGAGATGAAACGTCTTTTTCTCAAGTGACTTGTTTTTCCGAACGCTATTATCCAACAACAAATTTGTGGCCAGGGAATATGCTCGAGTGGCCAGTAACCCGGGGCAACCACGAGCCACAGTGGCCGATGAGCGGAAAAAAACAAAAAACATTCATTCGTCTTAAATAAACAAAGTCAAATTGAAAAAAAATTCCACTTTCAACCAGTAAGCACGGCCGTTTTTGTCATTTCCCAACTACCAAAACTCCCCAACTCAAAACGACCATCAACCCCCCCATTCCTATGCATCCCTACGCATTCAACAGTTATTCTTGAACACTTTTTTTGTTTGTTTGAGAGGATGTACGGGAGGCTGTGCGAGTGTCAGTTCGCTCAAGACCTTTGCCGACACAGCGGAGTGGAAATGTTCCCATTCGAGACAGCAGATTTGTGACAGCCGTTTGGATTCTTTTAACCGCAGTAGGCTTCTCTTCCTCACCTTCAGTGCAACTGGCTAAATCCGAAAAGATGGCTGAATCTTCAGGAGTACCAGAGCAAAAGGTTGATGCAAGAGTATGGCGTGGCCGTCCAACGCTTCTTCGTAGCCGACACGGCCTCGGAGGCCTTCGAGGCTGCAAAGAGACTCGGTGAGTAGTACAAACACATACGCACTGATGTGCTGTGCAGGGCATTGGTCCCCAACCTTTTTTTTTTTGTCTCACAGACCACTTGAGACAAGTTCATGCGGTTCACGGACCGGCAGCCTTTTTTGTTTTTTTAAATTGCTTTGAGAGTGCCACTTTTAAAGCACGGCTGCTGACCAAAAAGATATTCAGAGAGCAATTCAACATTTGATGAGCATAGATTTGTTGTCATTCCTTTCAAACAAGGTTTTTCGACTGTAGAAATGTAGAGTAAAATAAAATAACACTGTGAACCATTGAGAAGTTGACCGATCAGGAATAATAAAGACGGCAAATAATGTAGACATAATAATACTCAAGTTAGGATCCTCCGTACGGCATCAGAATCATTGCTACTCTAAAATGGGACTGATCGAAAGAAGACGCAAGCGATGGTTGCTTTCTGTCGGCGATTGCCGGCTAGTTCTTAGCGTCTGACCTGCTAATCTCTTGAAAAACAAGAATGTGGCGGAAAATCTTCCCCGTGGACCCAGTGAAACCATCAGTCCGACCTATTTGCGCCACGCCGCCGCGCCACGTGACCTGTTGGGATTCATCGGAGATAAAGTTTCATCTCAACGAATCATGTCTTCCAAATCTCTTGCTTAATGCATCGCAGCCTGTTGTTGTTTGGAGCTTGCTGATTGTGCCTTCTTGGTTTTCTTATCATGGCACTCAAGCAAATGCGTTGCTTTGAACAGCCTCTCATGCTCACTTTTTCACACATCGCGTGGCTTTTGTTCAGCGTTTCCTTCTTCATGGTTTAGTGTAACCCTTGGCTTTGCAATTTGGATCATTAGCCCCGCCCGAGTCATTTTATTCCAGCAGTTGACAAATAGACTTGATTTATATCGAACACAACCAAAAGCACATTTGTGCGCACTCGCTCATATTTTGCATCTGCCAGCTTCGCTGTTCTCTCTGCCCACTCACCAAATTACCCAACACATATACCGCCAGCTTCAGCTGTTTTTTTTCTCCTCTAAACTGAATTGGATTTTTTTGTTTGTTTAGTTGGTACCCCCCCCCCCCTCACCCTTCAGTGCCCTCTCCAGCTGCAATTCTCTGCATCCAGGATTGTGGTTTGCAAGTGTGATGCCACGCTAACCACGGTCTGACTTCAGAAATTCGTTCAATGCACATTTTTTACGGAATTGGCGCCAGAAGAGGTATTTTGCCGTTGATTTCTTGGTCGGAGTAACATACAAACAAAATGTAAAATACTTGACTCCAATTGACTTGCGTGGCATTTCTTCGGGTTCATCGAGGGGGCAGTAACATTTTTGGCAGATGGCTGACTCAAACCATATCGGCTCATTGTTTTAATTTTTATGGACCCATACTGGGAGACGTGTGCAAGGAGCTGTCAGGAAGTCCAAGCTTTTGGAGTGCATACCCCACAGGGAGTTAAAAAAAAAAAAAAAAAAAAAAAGCACAGTTTTAGCCTTCTGTCTGTCAAAAGTTAATTGCCCAGAGCCATCATTAAAATACACATCACCTCGAAAGAGATTGCACTTTTTCACTCTCCAATTTTGCTGCTGTAAATTGGGAATGTCTCCTTTGTGAGACAAATAAAGGTTTTCTTACCTTAACTTAGATATTTTTTTGTCACTTGTTCTCATTCTTTTACTCAAGAAAAAAAAGTGCATTCAGAAGTTGCCTCTCTTAAATGTTATGTCTCACATTCATTCAAGTCAAAAGCAAACGTAAAAGGTAATCAATTAAAAAAAAACCAAAAAAAACCCTGCACTGGTCCAATATGATTCGTGTATGACATATTTCCTTTCACATATGACTCGGGTATGCCATATTTTCAAAATGTGTTGCTGTGCTTTCTTAGCACGCATGCAGGGTCATTTTACGGATGAAAATCCACACTTAGCAAAAGTGACTCTCATGCAGTGCACTTTGTTTTATCACTTGCCGGGCAGATGCATCCGTTGCGCATATCTTGATGATTTTTTTTTTCCTTTTCCCCTTCCTTGATTAATCTTTGAGTTCTGCCCCGCATGCACTTTTGGATTCTTAATTACTCTCCAATGTGAGTTTTGATAGAAGGGATCAGCAATTCATCCAGTGTACACCAAATAGAAGCATATAGATAGAAGAAGGCGATCAAGTATGGTGAAAGTGAGGCATACGGCTGACCGGACCTCCGCGTCAGTCCATAAATCCTCCTTTGTTGTTCCCAGCATCCCCACTGAAGGGCCTTTTTTCCAATTACTTTCTTCTTTTCCTTTCAGAAAAGCAGGCGGCATCTCTGCTGAAAAGCGCTGACGGTAGCATTTAGTGCGGAGGAGACTTGGCTTAACCACAGCCCTTTGGCGAGCATCTTTGTCACATGTGCTGAAGGATAAGACGATCGCGCGTGTGTGCGTGCGCGCGCCTTTGTGTGTGACTGTGAAGCAGATGGACACTGTTGTGTCCTCTTCTTGATGGTCTACAAACGGGAGTCATTTTGAAGGAATTGCGTTCATGTAACACACCTTTTTTTTTTTTCAGTGTGTAGTTCAGGTTTGTCAATGCCATTCCTCCTTTGTTGTCTCCCGCTCTCTATGTGAGTACATGAAACTCAATTTTGTGCCTAACCTTTAATTGTTGATGAAAGAGTAAAGCAGCAGCAGTCCAGCGGCTTGACTTGAATGCCCTAGTTCAGGCCGATTCGCTGTTCGATTGGGTGAATAAGTTGAGCGCAGCAAGGGAGTGCAGTGCTTTACCGGCGCATTCCCATTTGAATCCTTGCATGGACGGAGCAGCTCGCGTTCCTCACGAGTACTCACCTGTGACAAAGGAAGACAGATGGTTCCGCACTTCTTGCCATTGTGGCAAAAGCCCGATTCGGAGGGCGGGGTTTTGGAGGCTGGAATTATATCATTCAAGGGTCTGAAACAATACGGACACATTTTTCATAGTTAAGGAAGAGACACCGTGCGCGTGGACCGGATGTCACAGCATAAATTAGCGAGCTCACAAGTCTCTGGTTTCCACAAAAAAAAAAAGGCATGCATTTCTAAATTGTCCTAACAGCTGAAAATAGGCTTTGCAGGGTAAAGCCGCCTTTTGTAAGCAGCTTAGTGTTTCCACCTCCTCATTACGCGCAAACCATAACCTATTCACGTCAAGGGTGAGACATAGAAATTTTTTTAGACGCGCATCCTCCTCGATCCACTGAGCGCGATTCTAATGTGCCAGTGGAAGTCAAATGGAGACGATGACTTGTTTCCATGGTACCTCGCACGCATGGAAGCAACACAACAATCCATGTATGAATTCGATTTGACTGAAGTCCGGGAAATGTTTTATATTGAGAAACCCAATTGTTCCTTAGGTGGTAATCACACCACAACTACTTCTGAGAAAAGACACTATTTCGTCTTACTTTGAACTCTTTTTGCAAAGTGGCAGTTTTTGTTCACGGATTTAGTCATCAATGAGTCCTCTCAACCCCGTTTGTGTATGGGTGCACCTTTTTATCCTCTCCCACCCAACCTCTCAGCTCCAGACTGTGAAGACTGGCTCTCACTAATACAGTGTTAGTTTAATCCTCGCCATCCTGTCAGAGACTATTTTCTCTGGTGGTGCTTCTTTTTCTCTCTCTCTCTCTCTCTCTCTCTTTTCCGTCTGTAGCTCCTCCTGCAGGAAATGTGTTTTTTAGGCCTCTGTGAGTTCCCGTGTTGTGTCTTTGTGGTCTCCTTCCTTTGCTGACATAGGATGAGCTTGTTTCTTGCCTCGGGGGTCAAGGTGTTCATCCAGCTGTCCACTCATTTCCCAACCTGACGAGAGCCTATTGTCAGTGGCTGAACTTGGCCACTGAGATCATAATAACCTTGCCTGGAGCCATCTTTCATCGAGAGCACTGACTCCATTTAAACGGGGCTATTCCAGGATGAATGCTGAAGCGTCACGGCAAATTTTCAGCTCTGAAATATGAGAGCACGGTCAAGGCGTTCTTTTTTTTCCATTGCATACATTTGAGAAGGATAACTTAATCAATATACAAAAGTGCATTTTTTTACATTGCATGCTATGTGCGGAGTAGCAAGACCGATTGATGTACGGAGTAAAAGCATCGATCGTCGTCCTTGTCCCTAAAGTAAATATGTTGCGCCTTACTTAGACTTCGCATATCACGCCCAATGGTACACGCGCCGTTTTTCTCCCCTTCCCTCGAGCCGATGAGCAGCACACTTAAGCGGGACAAAATGGTGCGAAACCGTGATTGATCTATTTATGTATTTGATGTTATTGTTTTGTGCCACCCTTGTTGTGTTTTCCATAGCTTTCTATTTTCCTTTCAGATGCCAAAGAGATTGTGTTGAAAGCTCAGATTCTGGCTGGTGGAAGAGGCAAGGGTGTATTTGACAGTGGCCTCAAAGGTGGAGTGCATCTAACCAAGGAGTGAGTGGGCCCTTTGCTTGCTGTAAAAAAAAAAAAAAAAAAAGAGCCAGATACATACCATCGTCAAGATTACTTGAAATGAAAGTAATGCCGTTCTAATTTTCTTTTGTAATATTTTTTTTGTCTTTGCCTCTCATTTTCTGCAGCGACAGACAAATTTAGTTTCGCCGCATGACAGATTGACACGACTATTTTCCTCTGTTAGGGCTTTGTGCCGTCACAAAGTTTGATTTTTGCATGCAAATTTCATTGGCTGAAATCTTAAAAGGAAGCTTTACCCTTAAGTGTTGTGCATAGTTTTCAATGCTGCTCTTTGTAGTATTATTAGTAATTTTTTTTACTGTTTTGATTATTATCTAAACTATTAAATACTAGGCCATATCCATTACTGCTGTGACAACTGAATTGCCCTCCCGCGATTCATAAAATTTCTGTCTCTATGTACATCTGTATGCACACAAAAATGATAAAATGATGCGCACTTTGCAATCGCCACTGAGAATGAAATGAATACTGAGCTTTCCTTTTGATAATCACGATTGCTTCTTTGGTATTAATTTCTACATCTGGCTCTCCGGAAGCGAAGTTCATTGACGGTACAGCGTCGAGGAGCTCTCGTTTTCCGTCACGCTGGACTCCCCTCGAGTCTTTCGTATTGCCTCCAGTATGCAGCAACATCTTTTCATCTTCTGCCGTAGCCCTGCAGTTGTTGGTGAGCTGGCCCATAAGATGCTGGGTTTCCATCTGACAACCAAGCAGACGCCTAAAGATGGAGTCAAAGTGAAAACGGTAAGTTTTTGTCCGGAGGGGGATGTTCAGAAAGTAGAAGAAACACGTCAAGGTTCAAAAATCTACAAATAAAAAAGGTTAAGAAAAGATCAGCAGCAAGCCGGAGCTGCTGAAACAGGCTGCCACCCTCGCAGCGCTGTTGATCAAAAACGTAGATCTCCGGTTATGTTAGAGCTCATTGCATAATCTGAACCAAAACAAGCAAGACGAGTTGTGCACCATGCGAAAATTACACTCCTCACAAAAACAAAAACAGTAGATTGGGCTTTTGGATGACCTCGCCTATCAAGGTAAACCTAAAATACGCTAAAACCTTTCGATGGGGAACTTCAATTCAACTTTTCTCAACTTTGGAGTGCACATACCCAGCTGCCCTGCTTTTTTTGTCATTTTTGCACAACCCGCCATTCTCCCTCGCACGGAGTTTAAGGGCGGTGCTTTTAGTCTGATCTTGGCCAATCCTAGGCCTGCCGGCACTCAGTTGTCAACCTTCCAATGAAGCTTGAATGAGCGAGCCATGTGAAATATTATGGTGGAGATCCAATGCCAGAAAATTGACTGTGAGGCAACGGCCGGCCGGCCGGCCGAGGGAAAATAGCGCGACGTGTATCGTCTTTAAATGCTGAAGATAGACAAGGTATTCCTTCTCACCTCAGTAACTATTCTTTTGGTCCCAGCTGGGATTCTGAGCCGGGCCCCCTGTCGTCTTAGCTAAAGACTACAGTCTCCAACTTGGCTTTTAAACCGGCAAATGGGTTCTCGCCAACGAAAGCAGTCACCCATCAGTCACCTGTGCCCCGTTGTCCGTGCGTAGGTCATGGTTGCCGAGGCCTTGGACATAAGCAGGGAAACCTACTTTGCCATTCTAATGGATCGCTCCTGTAATGGTCCCGTTATGGTTGGAAGTCCCCAGGGAGGCGTGGATATTGAGGAAGTAGCAGCCACCACACCAGAACTCATTTTTAAGGTATGTCAATCGTGGTTCACACTCCACATACGCCATTAGTCCAAATAGGAGATTATAAGCCTCCAAGAAAGACTGCTGAGGAGGAAAAAAAGGAATGAAAGTGATTACTCCGATTTCTCAACATCATGATTGTAGGTTTCAATTTATCGTGATCAACCCTCCGTTCGTATGTACCGCTTCCAAAATATTCTTTTTGTCATAGCTTCTTAATGCCAGTGTGGCTCATATTGCGGGAGAAGAATTCCTTGCATACGTTCACTGGTTTTTCCAGTTATTCTAGCGATCGTCAGTTTCAAGTGATTCCAGTGACCCTTTTCTGTCATCAACAATTTGGTCCACCTGTGTACTTTGACTTTATGTAGACAGGACATGCTCCTTTTCGGTGCTATATATATATTTTGGTGCATCACACGCGTGTCTTTTATTTTTACCAGGTCTGCATTTGTCAGCCTCGTCTTCCTTGTTATGCCCTCCTTATGATGTGCCTCCTTAGTTTGATGTGACGATGAGCATTTGCTGCTGGAAAATGACGCCCGATTGTTTGAGACGCTGTCACCCTTTTTCACTCACGGTCCTCCATCTCCCCCCCCCCCCTGTACTCCGACTCTCACAGGAAGTCATAGATATCTTTGAAGGTGTACAGGACGCCCAGGCAGTTCGCATGGCAGCTAATTTGGGTTTCAAAGGCCCTCTGCAGAGACAGGTAATCTGCTTTATACGGTCCTAACAGAGTGTGATATGCAGAGCCACTGCTCGATTGTATGTACAGTATGTCTATCCTCTGTGTGCCCCGGCAGCTGCGCGATTATTTATAGAGCGATCAAACTTGGTATGATTAGTTTTTCCGATGCGTGCCGTGAAGTGTCACCGCACAAGGCACGTTTGCCAGAGGGCCACTTGTCACATCTGGCAGTCGAGTGCAGTGCTGAGCAAGTGGTATTGCCCTCGATTGTGTTTCGAGGGCGAAAGACGCTGAATTGTATTTAGGACGCATTGATGTTTGGCTGCGTGTGGGAGTCACATCATTTGTATGATTCCACGCTTTAGCAATTTTATTTTTCAGGTTCACTTCGTTGAAAATGAAGCGATAAGCAAACAAAATACATATGTCCACGTACGACGTTAATGTGGAACCCCCATTGCCTTTTGGCCAAATGATCTCTCATCAGTGTTGTTAAATCCAGCTTCTCTAAAGTCAAGCCTCTCCTTTCTCAACAGCACTTTGAAGCAGTCATTCACGTCTTCCTCACGATCTTACTGAATGCACCTTACTTTCAAGTCAGCCAGTCCTCCATTACGCGTCTCCGGTTGGTCCAAAATGCTGCCGCTCGCCTCTTGACGGGTACTCGTAAGAGGGAGCGTATCACTCCTACTCACTCCCGTCACTGGACCCCGAAATATTTTAGCGTTGTTTCGAAGATCCTTTCCAAGCCCCCTCGCTGCCCATCTTTCAAACTCATTTTTATTCTTTGGCTTTTGACTCAGCGGGAGACTTGATTTTCAGTTTGGCGGTTTTCGTTTTCTACTGTCTTTGTTTTATTGTTTGTTTTTGTTGTGAATAATTTTTGCTCCATGTACAGCACTTTGTATATGACGGCGGTTGTTTTAAAGTTGCTCCGAAAATACACTTGAGTTGAGTTGAGTCGCTGACATTCCAGCAAAGCCAAATCAGAGAGTGTGACAGTGAAGGTGATCCGCCATGTTTTGTTGCGCATGTGGGAGGCTGATTGGTGTTGGGCGGACCGGCTGCTCAGATCTGAAGCATCGGGTAATTATTTTCCTCTGTGGACTTTGCAGGCAGCAGATCAGATTAAGAGGCTCTATGATCTCTTCCTGAAAGTCGACGCCACTCAAGTTGAAGTCAACCCTCTTGGAGAGACCCCTGAAGGACAAGGTACAGCTTTTCTCTCATGATTTCAATCCATGTTTTTTTTTTTTCTTTTCTATGCCTGAAAGATATGTTGTAGGCTTCAGCGAGTGCCGAATTCAACAGCAGCCCCGACCACGGGAAGAGTGTAGTAATGGGACGGAAACTGAATGGACGGAACACATTTGTATCGATTTCAGTATTTATTCTGACGCTACGTATTGAGGCATTGATTTTTGTCCCCGTATTCTTGCCGTGTTCCAAGAAATGGCCGTGAATATTTTGCCAGCAGTCTTTTCTCGGTAGCCTCTTGGAAATAAAATCCTTGCGATGTAACGGAGATGTCCATGAGGTCTATCCCTTCGAGGCAGCAAGGAGGCACCGAGCGACAATTGATTTGCATGCTAACCTCTGAAATCATTGATACCAACGGGCCACCGGGACACCTTTGTTTTTGTTCATTTTATTTTAGGGGCAGGAATTCACAATTGGCTCTTTGCGTGTGACATCCTGTTTCCTTTTTGCCACTGCCCACCTCGGGTCAAATTGGTGCCTTTTGTCTCCTGTTGTCCACACTGGCCGCCGGTGCTGATTTTTCTCCCTTCTCTTCTGCCGTCTCCAGTCGTCTGCTTTGATGCTAAGATCAACTTTGATGACAATGCCGAGTTCCGCCAAAAAGCCGTCTTTGCCATGGATGACATGACTGAGAGCGACCCCACGGAGATGGAAGCGGCCAAGTGGGATCTCAAATACATCGGTCTGGATGGGAACATTGCCTGCTTCGGTATGGAAACGACACGGTGTGAAAGACGGCCACCATACGCTGCGGCGCGAGTGTTTGGCCGTGGAAATGATTCGAATTGGCATCCTTAACTGAGATCTTTGTTCTCGATTGATCAAGTTCCGTTTGCTTTTCAAGAGCGTCACTTGGCATCACCAGTTGCTGAGGGTACCTATTCAAGATCACAGATCAAACACTTGTGCAAACACTCCCGTCAACCATTCGGCCACTTTAATCTGAAATGCTTCTCCATTTTGACGCCTCGCTAGCAGTCCATTTTCTCTCAAGGGCCGCCTTTTCGTCAGGACTGTTATTTTGCTCTTCCAATAAATGCCACTGAACGTTGAGGGCACAAATCTGAACTGAGACTTGGAAAACCCGATGTTTGGATGCTAGGAGCCAGTGGTCGGGAACTCCAGTCTGCCGGAGTATGATTATTTTCTTTTCACTGGTTGCGATGGGTTACTGTCCTTGGTCAGTGATATTTTGGTTTTGGATTTGTCTCATCGGTTTTCTTGTTTTGACTCGAACTGCTATAACTATCTTGAACTAGAAAAGAAAAAAAAAAGTGCAGATGGAGCCCCACGGGGCTTTTGGATTGTATTGCTACCAGGTCAGCTCAGATGATTATTATTTTATTTTTTTCACGTTTGGTTCGTGTGTGTCTTTTACATGTTGTCGTGTGCACACGCACATTTGTCTGTGTGTTTGCAAATTCTCTTGCTCACATGAACATCTCCGTCATGTCTATGAGTATATCTGGTCAAAGGCCTCACGAGGCACAGTGCGCAGGAACCTTAGAAATGTAGAATTGACCTTTTGAGAGTTTGGCTTGCTTATAGTAAACATCATGTGCTTACAGTTTCTAGAATGCTGCTAAATGAGCCACTTGCAGATCACGCTTTCCATGTTGATCATGGCGCATCGATGAGGGTGGAGGAGGAATCGTTACCTACGTCTCGAGTCATTTGTCATCACATGTCCAAAAGGAAGGCCCGTTCACTTTGAATGTCTATTCCTTAAAATGATCTTTCATAAAAGCATACTTGTAACCCTCCAAACGCTCCTGCTGAATTGTAAAGGCCCGGACCTCAATCTGTGGGCTGGGCGCAGGAGATGCCCTCGCTATGTAACAGATTTGGAGCATTTTTTTTTTTTTTTTTTTTTGGCAAAGAAGCGTGCACAAATCTCGCCAGATCAAGATGTACCACACGGTTTGGCTTCTCACGCAAAAAGACCGAGTACTGCAACAAAGGCTAAAGGGGTTCAAGGACAGTTAGTTGGAGAACGTCCAAATGGATTCACCCAGGTCCCCTTTACCTTTTTTTTTCCTTTTCATCTTCCAAGATGTCATTGTGTTTTCCAATTGAGTTACAGGGGTTATGCAGTAGGTCACGTTGCAAGTGGAAACGGTTTGGAAATGATGAATCTCCGTCTCGCCAAAACCTGCATTGAACAACCCGGCGCTCACCGCATCAACCCCCTCGTCACCGTCTATCTTGATTCCCTCGGGACGACACGGTTCAATCCTCACCAAAGTCAAGGCGCGCTTCCGAGCTCTCCTCTAATCCACATTCCCAGCACTTTTTGTGAGGACTCCAGAAGGGATGCCAGCGTAACCAATGTGTTCTCATTAGTGATAATCCGCCCGCAAAGTCTCTTGTGAGCCGGATTGTCAACGTTTCGCATTAGAGGCCCGCGTCCTTGTCATAAATCAAAGCCCTTGCAGAGTACGGCAGCAGCAACAGGTGCGCCGTCTCTTTGCCCCGTGTGCCTCGTAAACACACAGGCTTTCTCTCAGCGCTGTCAGCTATCCGCACGCACGCACGCACAGGCAGGCGCACAAATTCAGCACCGTAAGAACAGTTTGAAGGATCCCGCTGAAATGCCATGTCCATAAGCCATCACACAACAGCGACGGCTGGAAAGTTGAATTTTGCCCATTTCCAATCGCCGAGCATGCCGGCGCACGGTTTCGGGGGTTGGATGGTTTTGCTCTCTTGGCTCAAGCGCGACTTGGCAGGGCACCTGCTCGTGAAGTTTGCTTCATGACGACAATTTGTTTCTTCAAATTCTGCCGTGGACCCATTGGGTGATTATGAACGCAACAGTTGACTCCGGGGTGTTGGATGGCAACCAATGTATTTTTCCTGAATAAACATCTCATGATGAAGCGCATGCTATCTTGCCGTCTTTCCGTTGAATTCAAGTCTTGCTCTCATCATATCCTGTCCATTGTGGCTTTTGTTTTTGTTTTTTTCCACATGTAGTGAATGGAGCCGGACTGGCCATGGCCACATGCGACATCATTGACCTGCATGGAGGAAAACCAGCTAACTTTCTCGATCTTGGAGGAGGAGTCAAAGAGAGGCAGGTGTATGAGGCCTTCAAGCTTCTCACGGCTGACCCAAAGGTAGGCCTGTGTCTTTCGGAAAGTTTGACTCTGGTTTGCAACCCCACCTTTAATGATGCTTTACGTTTGCGCAATTACAGCTATTCTTTTTTTCAATCGTCCCCACACTTTCACACACGCCCGGGCGCTTTCCATCCGCCTCACTCTCCTCACTGTGTCTCTGGCTTTGATGTCTCAAGCTCATTGTGTCGGGAAGAGTGGAAGGGACGTGAGTGCACTGCTGGCATTGAATAGCAGACACCGGCCCTGAGATGACAAAGGCCCCCCTTCTGTGTTTTCACACCTCCACCTGCCAGTAGAGCATTTGTTGCCTTAATCATGATTATTTCCTGAACGAAAAGGGAGGCAGAAAAGCTGGGAAAATCGCCTCGCTCTTTGGGAAGACAACCTGGGAAAACACATTTTGTGAGGGGGGAAAAGGATTGCAGGTGTTATGTTATTTATTTATTTATTTGCCAGGTAATGCTGAAGCAGTATCTTGAGTCAACTGGAAGCCATTCAGCTTTGTGTTTAGGCCTCTAGCAAGTTTAAAGCGCGCCGATTTGTTTTCCACACAGCAATAAATTGCACAGTCTCTCGCCATGGCCACATATGGAAATGTTTGTGCACAAAATTCCTGAACATCGAGAGGTTTACTTCACGTCACCTGTAGGCAAGATGCCGGTGAAGGCGGAAAATACCAAATCAGACTTTTATTGCCATGCGCCGTTGCAGTCAAGTGACAGATGGATATTTTGTCCGACTCGACATCCATTTTGTTCTCGGGGCTGTTTTCTCAATATTTCTCCATGGAAGCGCTATATAAATCCGGATTGTATTGTATTGCATTGTATATAGCCTTGAGTAAATCATGACATTTCTGAGGAGTGGAAAACATGGTCAGCTACTGCGATGCGGTTCATATGGACCATAGAAGTAGCACTGAAATGGAAACTGAAACCCATGATGTCAACATGGGTTGTGGGGGCCATCGTTTTGGGCTCTTTTTCACTCATCGCCATAGTGTGAATTGTGTGACTCGTATCTGCCACTTCCTGCTTATTACGCAGCTTCGATTCCAAAGAAAAGCATGACGGAGTTCGGACAGTATTTTCACGCCCTTCACATTTTCTCCAAAATGGACGAGGTGCCGAATAATGCGGGCCGTTTTATGGAACGGCGCCATCTATCCATTCGTGGCGCAGCAACATCCGGCGGATTCCAAGGAAAAGCTGGCCCTTTTCCGCTCGTACTGCTGTCAACGGTGTAGGGTTCGGCGTTGCGTTAAATAAAGAAGCTTTCTTGGAGATTTTAATCTGTTCTTTTGCCGCTCTGCCGGCCGGCCTCACTTGGCTTCTCTCAACCAATGCCCACATTCCTCCATAGCCGCTTGGGCCAACGGCAATTGATGACTTGAGTTGAGTTTCACCTTTGGTGTGAACGAAGCATTAGAAAGACCGCGGCGGAAAGGGGCCCACTTCACATGATGTGTCTTGGCAAAAAAAAAAAAAAAAAAAAAACATGACAAAGGAAACCACGTAATTCGATCGCACATGCAGGAGTGTGTATATGCTTGTGCTTGGCGGAACTTCGCTTGTCACAATAGCTTCGTCTTCGGCTGCCCATCAGCTGCGCGTTTTGCTTTTGAGCGTTTGGTGAATTTGTTCCCATTCCTTTCTGTTGACCACTGCTTCTTTCATTTATTGGCTGATTCTGCTTATTTCCAAACACCCCGATGTTAGAAGGAGGATTCCCATTGGCTAGAGCCGCGCCAGGAAATTTGCTCACAGCTCGCAGGTCTGTCTCTGCGCGGCCCGGTCCCAAATGGGCCGAGGCCCGGTACCGGTGGTTGGGGTCTGATGATTTAAGGGTTAGTCGGCTGCCTCCTGCGATTCAAAACAGTCCTATCGGTTTCTCTTTAGCGTCAATAGACAGAAGTATGACGGAAGCGCCCCCTCCGGTGTGAATGAAGACTGACTGTTAATCCATTGCCTGCATGCTGTCACCTTGTCCAATTTGTCCCTGTGGATTGTCACACCGGCAGCCAAGTCCCGACGGCATGTCTGATGGAGCGGAGTGTTCCCCTGTCCGGACCTTCCTCATCTGCGGGAAATCGATACAGGATGGACCAGCTAATTGAGCTCTGCGCTCTCTCTGTTCTTACTGCCACCACTGCCACGAGTGGTTTGCCATTGCCGCAGCCGCCTCACACCCTTTGGATCGGGGGCGCCACTCCCTCAGCAAATCGGACCTTTCGTTAGGTCCTCGAGCGGCGGAAGATGCTTTTGGCCATGTAGTCAGAACAGCCTTCCTACACTGGAAAGACGCGCCATAGTCTACTGCGCAGTTTGACGTACCCCGTGGTTTTTGGTTGCAAAAATGAGTCTCGCTTTGATGTTGCTCCTTCAGACTGCCAGTCGCCGCAACGAAGCAAGTTCTTGCATCTATTTGCATCCGTTTTGCATCCCACCGCTAACGACGAGATGCCAAGGGAGCAAATTAAAATTCGCTGCAGTCAATGTCTTTGCAATATCGCAAGACAGTTACCTCCAGATAGTGAGTTCTGATAGCAGTCGTGATTCTGTTTTCCATTTTTTCTTCTTCTTTTTTTTTTATTTATTTTTTTTTATATCATCCATGATGGGCGATGCATTCTTTTTATGGATGAATTTGAGCTTTTAGGCCAGGCTTGTATAGGGTTGGGGTGAGGAGCTAATCGCTAGAGAGGTCAATAGAACGAGTAGTTGTCATGAAAGAAATATTGTGGAAGAATCTAAGCTATTACTGAGCTTCTCCGGAAATTACAACAGAGTTACAAATCTTTGTCCCTTTTTTGTGGATGTGGGTGTGTGTTCAATGACTTGGGAGACACTTTGTCTCCCAAAAAACGCCATTTGTGTGCAGCAACTCTCTGCCGTTGTCTTTTTGACAACTGTTGCAACATGTCAACACCGGCCTTATGTTTGGTGTCCAACTAAAACGATAAAACCGGCTATGGGACGACACACTGAGGACCGCGGAGCGTTGCAAGTCCTAGAGAAGGTTGGGAACCCGCCCAAGACTTGAAGGAGCGACGCCATCACGAACCACTTGTTCCCGCCTCTTGCCAAAAAACGCTGCAGGAGTGGTGTGGCCGTGAGCAGCTCTGACTCATTTCTCCCCCGCCCCCCCGGCGCTGAGGCGTCCTCATGCGCCGAGATAATGTGAAGCCACTCAAAGGCCGGGTTAATGAGATCATCCATGTTTGCTGGAAACCCCCGTGTTTGTTTTCCTGAGCTACTGCTGTTGAGCGTATTTATTGAGGTTAGGCTCGCCTCAAGGTAATTGCCATGAGAGCAATTCAGTCCTGCTGCAAATTAATTAGCAGGTTAAAATATGAGCACCCTGCAAACTAACATGCTGACGTCCAGGGGAAAAAAAAAAAAGTCTGCCTTTTTGGTTTGAGGTGCTGCACATTGTGAACAAGGTCTGAGTCACTCCATTCACACCATTAAATCGTTCCCATGACAATAATGTTTTTATTTTCTCACAATCCATGCCAGTGGAAATGTAAACGGTCAAAGACGGTTGCATCTTTAAATCGATTCCAAATGATTGTAATTTGATCTTTGAAACAGAGGCTAGTCTACAGTCTCTCCAGAAAGTATTGACTGTGCTTTGCACTTCACTTGGGCAGCGTTTTTGCCGCGTTCAAAATTGCGTGGCGCCCCCCCAGCCAGACCCATTGCTATCTCTCGACACAGCGTGAAGCTCCAGCTACGCTGTTTGAGCGATTGCCGTCCCTCTGCGACGTTTTCGTATTTTAACTGCTGTTGCAGCGTTGGCGGAGGTGCTAAATCAACGGCGGTCCTTCACCGGGCTCCCGTACGCCTCCGCGTCCTGCGCACACGCATGCCAAATGCCGCCCCACAACACGCTGCAAACTCGGGATGCACGACATATATTGGAATGATGACGTCAATAAATCTAACAACATCCCAAAGAAAGGATGGTGATGGGTACGACGGCGTTCTGAAAGGCAACGAAGAAGGGAAAGTGCCAACCTTTGGTCAGAGACGAGCCAAGGGCTCAAGCCATGCGAATGGATTTCACCATTGACATGGTGGACGCTTTTTCGCATTCTTGACTTTTGTGAGCTACGAAAGCACTCGCCGCTAATGGTTTAGAGTTCCGAGCCGCCGCTATCTTCTAAAACAGGAAGTGTCGTGCTTCTGCATACCCTGACGGAAGGACATAAGGACACAGGAGCCTCACGTTTGGTTTATGGATGGGTGACGCTAGCACTGTTAGCTTTTCTAGCTCCCTGCCTGTCATACACTTCAGTGCTCACTTGTGCATTTACTCTATTGACTCTATTTTTTTTTTTTTAACACCGCACCTTTTCACCTTGCAGTAATAAATGAATAAATGAATGGCAGGCCACGAACGTCCACCGGGCTGTAGTTTGGACACTTCTGGTATACTGTATACTTAAGCCTCTTTGTCTTTTTAGATACTTGTGGATCATGGTTGTGCTACCCTGGAAATGCAAGTTGAGTGTTGCGTTCTTCTTGAGTAAACGCTCAAAAACGTTCCTGCTCCGTCGCCCGGGGGATAGCCACATTTTTCCGGCTATGTCACGGTCGTCCCGGATGACCGCGACAGACGTGGAAGCTTCAGAGAGGCAATTGGTTGAGAAAAGCAACGCTTCCCAAAATAAACCGCAATGTTGATTGATTGTTGAGAGTGGCGGTCATTGTGATTGGGACCCGTCGACTGATCTGGGCAGCCCTAATGGTAAGCAAAGAGGATAGTTCATGTCGACATCATGCGGCTGACATCCGCCAACGATATGCTTTGCATACTTCAAATGAGTTTCCGTGTCCCGCCGAGCTGACTTGCGCTCTGTCCGGTGTTTGTTGCGCTGTCAGACACGCCGGCCGCATTCGAGCAAGAGATTCTTGTCGGCGTAATTGAATTTTCCAGGACTGCTTCAATACCGCCCTCTTCTGTGATTCTCCTCTATGTCTGTGTTATCGAGC